CATTCCTGCCTGCAGTGTTGACAGTCTGCAATGTAAATATTAGGTTTGTTTGTGACCATGTTACAGATATGGTTTCAGTCTGTGAGTCAATGTCAAAGTGCTGGATCTGGAGGTTTGATTTTGATCATGTTTATCTTTCCAGGCCAATAACCGTGTGTGAGTAAAAACCCATATTAGGAGCACAGGTAGTTATATCACAAAGAAAGTGCTTGAATATTGGAATCATTTCAACCAAAATGTTTTAAATACTTCTTAAGAAATGTAATTTGTTTCTTTCCTCCCTCCCTTCATTATATCTAAGTGGAGGCCATTGTCAGATCATGTGAAATGAAATGGCCACATCAGCCAAATAAAGGAAGACAATTTACAGCACCTGACAACTGACCTTCAACACATATCTTACACACAGACTGTATATAAAAATGGGACAAAGCTACCTTAATTGCAGGCTCTGGTCACAGGGTCAGGTGATGGAGGTGTTGTGCTGGTTTATGAGATGCTGGTGTCTTATTCTTTCAGCTTGTCCCTGTTTAAGGGGTTGCCACAGTGTATCATTGTTTTCTATTTTACCCTGTTCTCTGCATCTTCTACTCTGACTCCAACTATCTGCATGTCCTCCCTCACTGCATCCATATATCTCCTCTTTGGCCTTCCTCTTTGTCTCCTACTTAGTAGCTCCATCTCTAACATTCTTCTACCAATGTATCCACTGTCTCTCCTCCACACATGTCCAAACTATCTCAATCTGGCTTCTCTAGCTTTTTCTCCAAACCTTCCTGTCTGTGTTGTCCCTCTAATGACCTCATTCCTGATCCTGTCCATCCTTGTCACTCCTAAAGAGAATCTTAGCGTCTTTAACTCTGCCACCTCCAGCTCCGCCTCCTGTCTTCTGCCTATTGCTAGTGTCTCTAAACCATACATCGTGGCTGGTCTCACCACCGTCCTGTAAACCTTTCCCTTCACCTTAGCTGACACTCTTCTATCACAGATCACTCCTGACAATTTTCTCCAGCTGTTCCATCCTGCCTGCACTCTATTCTTAACCTCTCTTCCACAGTCTCCGCTGCTCTGAACAGTTGATCCTAAGTACTTAAACTCTTGCACCTTCACTACCTCTGCTCCATGTAACCTCACCATTTCACTGTTTTCCCTTTCGTTTACACACGTACTCTGTCTTACTGCGACTGACCTTCATTCCTCTTCTCTCTAGTGCAAACCTCCACCTCCCTAGGTTCTCTTCTAGCTGCTGCCTACTCTCACTACAGATCACAATGCCATCTGCAAACAACATAGTCCATGGGGACTCCTGTCTGACCTCATCTGTCAATCTGTCCATCACCACAGCAAACAAGAAGGGGC